ATAATAATTGTGTACTTATTTTATGATGTGAAATAAAAATTATAAATTAATTTATGTAATATTAATAGAGTCAAATTTTATTAATCAATTTTCTATTCCTAGAGCATAGCATATCCATGCAAAAAATGACTATTAAAGAATAATATTAGGAATATTAGGCAAAACTTTTCAATTTATTGTCTTCTTTTTCTCGTTATATCAGCAATAGGTCTTTTTATTAATTTAGGAGTTAATTATATATCTAGAACTCAAAATATTTCATGTTTTAAATTATACACCATCTGTTAATTAATCTTATGATTTAAAAAAAAATGCTATCACCAGGATCGTGAGCCCTTAGTCTGGGATTAGGCTTGACTCCTATCATATCTATTCGTTCAAAAAAAGATACAAAGTTAGAGAGGGACAAGACCAGACCTCTAACAAAAAAAATCAACTACAAAAAATATTTTCAAAAAAGAGCAATAATGGAAAATAGCATTTTATTTATGCTCTAAAATATTTTTCTTTAAGAGGTGCGTCATAATCCAACAATTTTCTTAATATGGACTAAAGAAAGTAGCATTTTTTTCTCCATCTTAGGTACCTTTAGATTGAAGCTTATTGCTCCCCTCTTTCCTTTTGCATCGTCTTGTAATTAGAGGTAAGATTTAATCCCCTTTTGTATTCTTCTACTTAAATAATATATATAAAAAATAAAAAAAAAAGTAAAAGGAGGGAGGTAGAAACTAACTTATCAAGAGTTGGTGGTTCAATTTATCGCTATAATATCTTCCGCATCAGATATGTACTTTATGACGCTTTTAAGTGAGATTATCATGTTCAATATCATGATATGTATATTTTATTTACATTTGATGCATAAATATCACTACTTAAAAATTGCTGAAAAACGACGGTCAAAAGTAACAGAAAAGTGACGCAATCACTTTTGTCTTTAACGCTTTTCAAAAAGCGAAGGACGGTTTCATACAAAACGAGGAATGCGTCGTTATTGTTATTTAACTTTTTTTTTTAAAATGAAATAAGCAACGTCGTTTGTCGCTTTCTTCAATGTGATAGAACTAGCTAGCAAAGCCGGTAATTAGCTTATGTTTGAATAGAGAGTTTGAAAGTGATGATGATAAGGATGATGATGGAGCAAAAATGGTACTTGTAGCGTAACGTTAGTTCATGTGTTTTCGTTATAAATAGGAATCGTTATTTAAGTCTTTATAAGTACTTTTTCTATATCTAATTAAATGTTTTACTTTTCTCTTTGATCTCTATTAAATAGAGTGTTTCTTTTTATATTTAAGTCTTTCTAATTAGTACTCCTTTTGTATCCAATTTTAGTGTGATAGTTACTTTTATGTTTGATCTCTATCAAATAGAGTGTCTCTTTCTATATTTAAGTCTTTAATTTCTAAGTATACTTCTCCAATTTAAGTGTCTTAGTTTTTTCTTTGATCTTTATCAAATATAGGTCTCTTTCTATGTTCAAGTCTTTTTAAGTACTTCTTCTGTCTCCAATTTAAGTATCTCACTTTTCTGTTTGATATGTATTAAATAGAGTGTCTTTTTTCTATATTTAGAAAGTATTTCAATTTCAAGATTGTACATGACAAATTTAAGACCACTAAATCATTTAAAGGACTATACGCATCGTTAATTTAAAATCACAAAATTTAAAAGTTTATTTTATTAACTAGTTTTGACCATATATTTCTATGTGGCAAATCAAAGAGTGTGCATGAAAGGGAATATGTATGTGTAAGATCGTGAAAGCCAAACATCTTCCATGAGCTTACCTCATGCCATTTCATCATTTCCTCAACAATTAATGTGTATGTGTCCATAAATTCACCAATCCACCCTCTCACATTTTCCTCTCATCTTTCCAAATTTCACTCATTTTGCAAAAAGCAAATCTCAAAAAGTTAAAAGATTCAAACAACCACTCCATCAAAAATGATTTTTAGCTGCAATTATTAGTGACAATTTTATCTTAGCACTTTTTGTAAATGTTGCTTAAAGCCTATAACGACATTGAATCTAATGGAAATGTTGATATAAAGATTTTAGCACTCTTTGTTGTGCATATTTATTAATGCTAAAAATTGAGTATTAAAAATGCATGACAGGCCTATATATAACTCTCTTTAGAAAGTAATGGGTCGATATTTTCTCCAAATGTCATACATTCCATTGCTATAAATACTAGGACAGAGGAGGAGCTAGTATCACCCTCATCAGTCATCACAAATTAAACACTAGGGCTTTATATCTAAGTTTTTATATTGTTCAAATTAAAATGGTGATTGTGAGCGGGAATACATCGCCTTTGCGTCCCTTCAGGGTAGAAGCAAGGCCTATAATTAGCTTTTGTTCGAATAGAGAGTTTGAAGGTGATGATGATGACGATGATGATGGAGCAAAAGTGACACCTGCAGCGTAACCTCTTAGTATGTTTCTTTGAAACTATGTAGTGTTTTCTATTAGTCAATTTTCTATTCCTAGACAATATCCATGCAAAGGATGAGTGTTAACAAATAATGTTATATATACTTTGTTTATTGTCTTCTTTTTCTCATTATATCAGCAATATATATAGCTCTTTTTATTAATTTTGGAGATAATCATATATCTAGAACTCAAAATATATCATATCAAATTAAACAATGTTTTAAATTATACAGCATATGTTAATTAATCTACGTTTTTTATAAATAAAAAATTAAGCCATCACCAGAGTTGTGAACACTTTGTGTGGGGTTTGGATTAGGCTTGACCCCGACCATGTCTATATTTTCATCCCGAAGAAAGATACAAAGTTAGACCAAACCTCTAACAAGAAACCAACTACACAATATTTTCGAAGAAAAGATTAACCTGGATGACAAATTAAAAGAAAGTTGGCTACTTGATTTGCCCCTTGCAAACAATGAGCAACTATATGATACGCATTATATATGGATAAATAAAATGAACAGAGCAAGTATTTGGTAATTTAGCTTGAATTTTATTTTATTTTTTGTCGAAAAGAGTTTTTGAAACAACTATATACTTCCTCTGTCCACTTTTATTTGTCATGTCACACTTTTTGAAAGTCAATTTGACTAATTTTCAAAGTTAAATTAGATTACATTAATTCGATATTTTAAACAAAAAATTTAGATATTCAAAAACTATACAAAAAGTACTATAAATTGCAATTTTTTGCATATCAATATGATGAAAAAATACATCATAAAATGTTCGTCAATTTTTATATGATTTGACTCTAAAAAAGAAAACCATGCAAATAAATGTGGATGGAGATAGTACATATTATATATGACAGAAATGGATTAATCTCTCATAATAGATCACATTAATTATATGGGTTGTCTCAGAAAGTTGTTGGACTAAACGAAATTTTGATGATATAGACAAAGTGTCTTGGATCACTGCATGAGGTGAAAGCCTGGGAAGATAATTTTTGTGTATATAAAATTGGAGGTAAAGACTAATTTATCAAAAAGACTTGTTGGTTCAATTTATTGCTATAATAATATTCCGCATCAGGTATGTATATAACGCTTTTAGGTGAGATTATCATGTTTAATATCTTGTATATTTAGGATGTTTACGAGTCTGTTTGAGTTGGCTATTGGTTAAAATTAAAAGCAAACCAATTTAATCGGCGGTTTGATTGTTATCGGTTTCGGTTCGATTTGATTACTAACATACACAAAAATAAAGAAACATTTCATTGAAAAAAGTGACAACAATCCATTCAAAATGAAAAATAGTTAGAATGACTGACATTAATTACAGAACTTTTGATCACTTAATTTACTATGAATAAAGCTTCAAAATTCACTATTTTAGTCTAGAAGGAAAGAGACAATGTGACATTTTGCTCTCACTTTAGATATTTTTGCTTTCATAAGTAAATTATAAATAAATTTTGATAAAATATATATATATATATATATAACCTTGTATTTCCGATGTGGCAAATTAAAGAGTGTGCAAAGAAGAGAAGAAGCACGTGTGGATTGTGAAAACCATGAGTTGACCTCATGTCATTCCATTCCTTTAACAATTTGTGGACTTCATCAATTCATTTTGCAAAAGCAAATCTCAAAAATTAAAGTAAAAAGATTCACTAATAAAGATGATAGATAGCTCTTAATGAAATTAATGGATCGATATTTTCTACCAATGCCACTTTCAATGCTATAAATAATAGGACAAGAGGAGTATAGCTAGTATCAACATTCCTCATCACTAGCTAATTACAACTAACTAGAGTTTAATTTCCAAAATTCTCACTCCAAGTACTTTTGAATCTTGTTCTTAGAAAAAAATGGTGATTGTAAGCGGAAACACATCGCCTTTTCATCCCTATGGGATAGAAGCAAGGCTTGTAATTAGCTTTTGTTTGAATAGAAAGTTCGAGAATGATGTTGATGATGACGATGATGATGGAGCAAAAGTAGCACCCGCAGCATAATATGGTTTGGCATTATATGTGTGTTTTCTTTTGAAAACATGAAGCGCATATATATAATATGGATTGTGAGGGAGAAATTGGTGTTTAATTTTCTCCTTAGAATAAATAGGAAACTAAACCCTAGCTATATATATGAGAATTTGTCTTCTTTTATTAGCCAAAAAAAATATATAGTCTTTTTTTCCCCCTTATATTAGCATAAGCACTTTTTCTTATTATTAATTGAAGCAATTATATATTTAGAATTAATTAAAAGAATGTCATGTCAAAATTGAACCATTTTTCCATTACACATCATCCTTAATAATGGTTGAATTTTGAGCATGGAAAATTGCTTCATATATTCCAAGAAATGAGGAACTTCAAACATCAAATTTAATCTCATATTTCAGAAATAAAGCTACATTTATGGACTACTTTAGATTCTCCTATTTTTATTTCCTTTCTTACATATCCATTTGAAGATAAACCCAAAAATAAAATAAAAAATTGCGAAAAAATAAGAGAGTATTAAAGGGTAATGAATCTATCTGAAGATGTAATTTTTGAGATTTTAACAAGATTACCTGTAACTTCTTTGATAAGATTCAAATGTGTTTGCAAATTCTGGTATTCTCTAATCAACAACCCTAATTTCATCTCGAAGCATTTGTATAACCTAAATAACAAACAAAATCATCTTCATTTGCTAATTAGTCGCCGCGGAAACATTACAAATAAAAGGATCCTCTCATTGTCACAAAATGACACATTTGATGTTTTCATCAATCAAGATTTTCCAGAATACTTCAATGACAAATTTGGTCACATAAGACTTATAGGTCCATGTAACGGCATTGTTTGTTTATGTGGTTATCCAGATAACATTGTTCTATGGAATCCATCAATTAGAGAGTACAAAATATTACCTCAATCACAAATTCAACGTCTTGTTGGATCAACAGTACGTGGGAGTGATTTTGGATTAGGGTTTGATTCGAAGAAAAATGATTATAAGGTAATACAAATTTTATTTTGTCTATCGATTGATCGTGTTTTTGTTTATCAAGTTGAGATATACTCTTTGAATACAAATTCTTGGAAGAAGTATAAAGGGATTGTGCCATCTAAAATAAAGTATGGTAATACTTCATGGAGTATGGTTTATGAAAATGAGATTTTTTGTTGGTTAGGTCAAGATGCTGATAATCATGAGGTGATACTTTTGTTTAACATGAGTGAAGAGATTTTTCAAAATATTAAGTTACCATCAAATATTGGAACTTTTGGAGAGCAAGAAATTAAGAGGAGTGTTTGGGTGATTGTACCATTTAAGGAATCAATTTCACTTATTGTTTATTGTTTAAAAGAAGTGGAGAAGTGTTATGATATATGGGTGATGAATAATGAAATGGGAGTTGAAAATTGTTGGACTAAATTGCAAAGAATTGGTCCTATTTCTAGGGTGGAAAGGCCTTTAGGGTTTTGGAAAAATGGTGAGCTAATTTTGGAAAATAGCTCTGGTCAATTAGTGATTTATGATCCTTCAAATCAAGAAATGAAGACACTTGGATTTTATGGGAAAAGAGGCAGGCTGGAAATAGTTGTTTATAAGGAGAGTTTAGTTCCAATCAATTGATATCGTAGATAAGGTCTACATACAGCCCACTCGATCCACAGACTCCACTATACTGTTGTTGTCGATATTACTTCTATGTGAATAGCAGTGGAGACAAATTTAAAATCTAGAATCAATGAGTTGAAAATGAAAATCATTTTAATTTATGTATATATTTTAGATGTTTTTGGTGTATGTATATATGATTCGAGAAGAAAGTAATGGAATAATACATAAACATGACCCTTAACTTGACATCAACTGACAACTATGACCTTTAACTTTTGATGTACACAAGTAGGCACTTAAACTTATATAAATTTGAGAAAATAGACATATTTGTCCTACATGACAATTTTGTGTCCTACATAGCGTCCTATGTGTATTATGTCATGTAGAACAAGTGTGTCTACTTGTTCAATTTTATGCAAATTTAAGTGTCTACTTGTGCACACTCAAAGTTGGTGGGCATAGTTGTCTGTTGAAATCAAGTTAAGGGTCATGTTTATGTATTATGCCTCTAATTAATTGAACCAACAGATCCTATCCAAAATGCACTCGCCTTTGAAACAATAGTATATATTATTCATAGCTATTGAACCCTTGAAGTTGATGTGAAACTAATTTCTTCTTGTACATAAATATGAGTCCGGAGACAAAAGGGCAAAAAGAATGAGTGAAATTTTCAAAAGAGCAATAAAAATAAGTTTGAAATCAAAAGAGTAACGTTTAAACAGGAGGGAAACTGCCTCTAAATTGGGGTAGGAAGGCGCAAGGAGACAGGCTTTCTACTCTAAAAAAAAAAGTCTGAAAATCTCAAATAATGCAGGAGATGGGAAGGGCATATTTTGACAACTTTTTCTTTCAAAACATGCATTTCTTTGTTCTTTTTATGAACAGTCAAATGCTCGGACTATAAGATTTTGTATCATACAACAAAAAAATACAGCATTCATCTATCTTCCATTTGATGTAGCAAACCCCAGTTTGATTCCCTACAGCATACATACAACACCCCTATATGTTTACTTACTTTACCTTCTTGGAGTAACAAAAAAGGGAAGATTCTTGCTGTTGCTTCTGTGGAAAAAAACCTCTGTTAATTGTGTGAATAAATCTGTCTAAAACCTGATTTAATAAGGTCCATTTCCACGCTTCCGCTTAGAATGACCTCTTTGCATGGTACCTCTATGCGCAGACGATCCCTGTTCAGATAGACTCTTTGAGATACAGAACTTTGAGCAAATTTAATCCAATAAAACACGTCTTTTGGACATGATAATTTGATGATTGATTCCAGTTTGTCTTACCTTTGATACATGAATGCCACCTCTTTGATGATGCATATTGGGGCGCTGATGCTGGCCATTGTACTCAAATGAATTGGGAGAAATGTTGGGATTCATATCCATTCTGTTATTCCACCCAGGATCAGACTGACCAATCTCAGTAGCACTAACCATTGTAGTAAGTGAGTCCACAGGCTCATGCAGCAATGATATTCCTGACATCCCATTGTAAGACAAGATACAACCCATTGCATTTATAGAGGCTGCAAGAACCTCAGGAAGAACTTTTCCAGGATGTGTGACCTGTAATAACATTCACTTACACATTAGACCAACCAAAAGCCACATATGTCAGTAACTATCTTGCCATAGCAACAGAATGATACCATAATTACATTGTGTTGTTTTTCTTTCTGTTCTTCTCATTTTGCTTGGGAAGTGGAGGGGAGGCGTAAGGTTCTCTCTTTAAAACAATGCAGAACAAAAAAAATTACCTTGAATAAAATTGCTGCAGCTAATCTCTCTCTCAGGCAGTAAATTTGAGCAACGTCAAGAGCTGTTGACTCAAAAGGAATCCATCTATCAACAATGACCTTAACTGTATTATCAGGAGAAGACATAATTTTCTCTCCTTGATGGGCTTCTGACAGATCTGCTTTAATATTACCTTCCTCGCCATTGTCCTCATCAGCATCTTCATAATCACTTTCATCATCATCATTGCCATCATCATCTTCTTCATTTCCAGGAGCCACTACAATCTCTGTTGCCAGCAACAATAGTGGGAGTGGCCCAATGACAGTGCAATTCCTTATAAGCAGACCTCCATCACCACGAGTTATCTCATCATATGCAATTAATGGTTGCTCATAGAATTTTTGGAATGAAAGCTTGAAGTTAGTTGAATGAGGGCTTAATCGAACTTTATCACCACCTGCAGTCTCAATGACAGCCTTCTTATTATTTTTCAGAGGTGGGAGCAGTCTTCCAACCATAGGGTACAAACCAGCAACAAGAACAGAATGTAGTATGCCTGGATCCTGTGCGTTAAGGTTACAGGAAGATCCATCCCCGGGAATAAACCCATTCCTCAATAGTTCAGATGCAAGTTGTTTACGCATTCCTGATAGCATATGCATAGTGCCTGAAGATACAAAGTACTTAGAACAAAACCTCGATTCTTGACCAGTTTCTCTCGCACTTTTCCAGCCCTCAAACGCAGCCACAACTGCTAATTGATCACTTCTTCCACCATACCATGAGGCTAACTCAGCTTTTGCAGCTGCAGCTTTATTCTTCTCATTTGGCAACATGGGTAGGGTAAATGGATCTCTATAGTCAGAAGCACAAGCCATAGTCAATGCTGGGTCAAGGCAGTTCAATAAGATGGAAATTAAAAGCATCTTGCTTGTAAGCGGATGAACTGGTAAAGATCCTAGCCTTTCTCCAAGCTCTGTAAGCTTCTCATCAAATGACAGCGCCCCAATATCTTGAAGAACAATGATTGCATTACGTATGGTCTCATAAACCGGAGGGTCAAGTGTTTTCTGCAGGAATTCTTCTATCTTGCAATCAGGATTAAGAAGCTTGACCTGCCAAAGAAAAGGTATTTAAACTGCTATATAGCAAGCTCCTTTGTTAAATATTTTACATTCACTGTGAGTAGATTTGTTTAACAAAACTAGAATAATTTTCAAAAGCCTACTGAATTACTTTTTATTTTCATTATTACAAGTTTCTTCACGTCCTTTCATCCCTAGCTAATGTTTTCAACTACCAACAAGCTCAATATATTTCACCTAATCATCTTTTTTATTTGAACTGGTAAAAGTTATTTCACCTAATCATCATGCAAAGTAATGAAAATCATATTCCCAAATGACAAGGAAGAATAATGAAGCACCTGAAGGCATAGTTCCTCTATAGGAATCCTCTTAATCTCAGGAACCTGGAAATCAGGCAATGAAGCTGCTCGAAGTTTTGAATAAAGATGATAACAAATCCCTGGCTGGCACCGCCCAGCACGCCCTTCTCTTTGCTTTGCACTTGCTTTTGAGACCCATGAAGATTGAAGAGTTGAAACATTATTATAAGGGTCATAACTTTTTTCTTTCATTCGTCCACTGTCTATTACATAAACAACATCATCAATGGTAATGGCAGTTTCAGCAATATTAGTTGAAAGAACGATTTTGCGGCAGCCTGGAGGAGGGTGTCTAAAAACCTTCTTTTGCTCCACAGAAGGAACCATAGAATGGAGAGCGATCACTGAAAACTTAGACTGATCATTGAAATAGTGGCTTGCTCTCAATCTCTCTCGTGTTCTGTTAATGTCCTCCCAACCAGGAAGGAAAACAAGGATGGCCCCGTCCTCCGAGTCTATGCATATTTTTTTTAATAGTTGTTCAATAAGGACATCATCAATCAGTTCAGGTTCAACTGTTGATAGGTATTTGTCAAGTAAATGTTGCTGCTCCTCACAACTGGAAGATGATTTCTCCATGTGTTCCTTAATTATTTCAACAGCTTCTGTCTGATTCTCCTGCTCAGCCCAATCTAGAGCAGTTTTCCCATCATTAGCACGTAAATGGTAGTCAGCACCAAAAGAGAGGAGCATGCAAATGTCACCAACGCGACCTTTTCCAGCAAACACCATCAATGGCGTCACTCCACTCAAAGAATGCTGATAATTGAAAACTTTTGGTCCCCCTTCAGAAGATATTAGATCCAAAAGGGGATCCAGATCATCATCTGAAAAAGCCAGATTAATTGCTTCATCTAAGGCAACTTTGTACTCCTCTGTTAATATAGATTCCTCAGGCATGACACTGGATGAGGTGGAATCAAGGTGATTATTTTTAGTTGACCTTACAATAGAAAGTACATCCTCAAGATAGAATGTTTTTACCTGGCATAGGTGTAGAGGCGTGTAAATACTTCAAAAACTCACATCATAAATCAACAAAGAGATAAATCAGCATATAGAAACTAGGAGAAAGGTTTTACAGGATAAGTAAATCCAGGGACTCGGATAACTGGGCAGCCACCAAAGTATTTTGAAAAACGTTCAGCATCCAGTGTAGCACTCATCAGAACCTGTTTGGAGGTCCATCAATTGATTATATCATAAAACCACATACATATTACTGGAATAAAAACAAGAAAAAGAGGCACTGTTTTATTACAATACAAAAGCAAAATGAGAAGTCTTACCAAACGCAAATTTGGATATGAAGGAAGCAAGTCCCTACAAGTAAAGAAAGATCAACTTGAACATTTGCTGTTTCACAGTGGTTTAAATTGAAAGGAATTAAGTAGTGACACCCTTTTATGTTTCTTGAATGAAAATGACAAGCTAATTTCTATAATCCAGACAGGTTTGCATAAATAAGCTACAGAAAGGAGGTTAATTGACTTGGCCAGTTGGCAAGCCAAAAATTAGCACATTATGATCCCAACTCCTGTCAGAAAGATCATTCATGACGGACAAAATTATAATCCACGTATCTATGTAATTAATAAAATAGATTAAACCAATGCACCTGAGAATAGCGAGCATGAAATCGGAGTAGCGATCCCTCTCATGAATTTCATCCTGTGAAATTTGAAGTTTGTTAGGCAGTAAAAAACAAAGAAGAAGCACAGCTGAGAATGTGTCAAATTAGAAAATATAAGCATCTCTACAAGCAGAAGTAGAGAAGGATTAACATGACAAATGAACTTTGCAAGCAACAAAACAAACACCACACAGATTGAAGTCGGACTTGTGAGATACAAACATAAATCAAAGAGCCAAGTAAAAAAGTAAATAAATGATAGTAACTAAATATATTGTTGCAGAGAACTGTGATAGAAGGAAAAAGAAGAAAGAGAAATATGAACATCATAACTTCAGAAGGAACACACCAGATACAGACAAAAGATGGAAGAAACAAAAATATTACTCCCACAAATCTAAAACTTGCACTTGGGTTACGGTTTTCTACATGTAATCTTGAGTAATATTCAGGATATGATTCAATTCACAATGACATATTGCAAAAGGAGAATTGCTATATTTGACCATTTAGACTTTCTCCGAGTATAAAAGGCTCTGTTAGAAACCAAACACTCAAGTAACTCATTAATGTCATTGATCTATACATCTATCAATAATGTATCTAGAAACTTGTGGTTTTTTACCTCAAAATTATCTCGAAAAATACTGCAAATATTAGGAGTCTTCATATTACCCTAAAAGAAAGTTATGGTTTTGGGGATAGAAACAAAGGAGGAGCCTCGCATTTAGATTTAGCAAAAGCTTGAGTTGGTGGTAGTTAGCTCGAGTTCCCCCAAGAAGGAGGAACACTTAGTGACCTTCCGTAGTTCGTTGGCTAAGACTCACATTGATAGTTAACTCCTTAGTAAGGGTGATAAACAGATAAGGTCTATCCTGAGTGAGAATCTTACAACCCAAATAAGCTCAGCGATGGATTTGGAGCTTAAGAGAAAAAGAAGGGTTAAGTGAGATCAGCCAAGGATCAAATGGGGTTGCTTGACTCAATGTTATCAAAAGCAAATAGCGCAAAAAACCGCCAAGGTCCGTTGGGGCTTTTAAGTGCAAAGCGCAAATAAAGCATGGGCTTTAATTAAAAAAGGCACCAAGGGAAAAAGAAATACAAATATGTATACAAAGAAATTGAAAACAAAATACGATAAGGTGAAATATCAATTGTTTAGTTTCGCCTCTTTGGAAGAGACTCATTGGCAAGGAAAAGTATGTCTTAGAACCTTGATCACGACACTAAAGTGCACATAAAGCAAGGTGAATCGTTCAACACGTTTTGAGCCTCACTGCAGGGCTTAAGCGCGCTTTAAGCGTGCCTTTGACAACATTGGCTTGACAGCTGTCAAAACTCGGGAGATGAGGGAGAAGATGGCGATGGGGGCTTGGGGGAGTAGTGGTGATGCAAGGGATAGGACAACTAGTTGCATCAAGGAAGCAACGAGAAAGTTGTTGCGGGTCTCAAGGGGTAACTTTGGAGGACATTGAGGGGATTGGCAGTGGAATGGAGAAGTCCAAGGGAAAGTGGAAACAAAGAAGGTTGCTAATGCAAAGTTGGTGGAGAGCAAGGACGGGGAGGAGAAGTGGATGACTAGGTAAAGGTATAAGATGGAGAGGAATGAGCAAAGTCAGAGGTGACGACAGCAAAAACGAAAGCTTTCAAACATTTTATGTTGAACTAGAGGACAAAGGTGGGAATAAGAAGATGTACAGGCTAGCCAAGGGGAGAAACCTAGACCAAGTGGAGTGCATCAAAGACAAGAAAGGCAACGTATTAGTGGATAAGGAACTCATTACATGAAGATGACATACATACTTCCAAAAACTCTTAAATGAAGACGGAGTAAAGGACATTGTGAAGGGTGATTTAGAGCACATCGAGAGTCGTCGGGATTTTGGGTATTGTAAGCATATAAAGGTTGAGGAGGTTAAGGATGTTATTCATAGGATGAGCAAAGGAAGAGTGATCATGCCAAATGAGATCCCAGTGGAATTTTTGGAAGATCACAAATAGGTGGGTTTAAAGTGGCTAACTAAGTTGTTAAATGTCATTTTTAAGATGACAAAAATGCCCGAAGCATGGAGGTGGACTAAATGATTACCTTGTACAAGAACAAAGACGATATTCAAAATTGCAACAACTACATGGGGTTTAAGTTGCTATGCCACATTATGAAAAAATAGGTGAAAGTGGTGCGGATAAGGATGAGGAGGGGTATGTCTAGTTTCAATGACCATTTCGGTTTCATGTCGGGGAGATCTACTACATGTCATTCAGATAGTAAAGAGATAGGTGGAAATGGTCCCAAGGCCCGAGTGAGGACAGTGAAGGAGACTCATAGCACTTTCCAGTCGTGATGGAGTTGCACAAGGGTCATCTCTAAGTTCCTTTTTGTTTTACCTTGGTGATGGATAAATTGACATGCCATATCTAAGGTGAAGCACCATGGTGTATGAGCAAATGACATAGTATTGATTAATGAGACTCCTAGTGGAGTTAACCCTAGGCTGGAGTCTAGACGTTTGGAGACAAACCCTAGACTCTAAAGGGTTCAAGTTGAGTAGGATCAAAACTACATACTTGGAGTGCAAGTTCAATGATGCAACTCATGAGGTTGGCATGGAAGTGAGGCTTGATACCAGGCCATCCCCCAAAAAAAAGAGTTTCAAGTGCATTGGGTTTTAAATTTAATGAAATTGAGATATAGACAATGATGTTATGGATCGTATAGGTGCGGGGTAGACAAAATAGAGGTTCACCTCCGAAGTCCTCTATAATAAGAATGTTCCGCTAAAACTTAGAGGTAAGTTCTACAAAGTGCCTATTAGACAGACTATGTTGCATGGGGTGGAGTATTGACCAATTAAGAACTCTCATGTTCAGAAGATGAGAATGTTGAGGACTTGAGGTGGATATGTCAACATACTAGAACAAATAAGATTAGGAGTGAAGATATCATGAACAAGATGAGAGTGGCCTTCATTATGGACTAGATAAGGAAAGCGAGGTTGAGATCGTTCGAACATGTGAAGAGGATATGTACACAAGCCCCAATGAAAAGGTGTGAGAGATTGGCACAAGTAGGACGAAGAAGTATGGAGGAGAGGTGATTAAACAGAATATGGCGTATCTTCAGCTTACCGAGGATATGACCTTAGATTAAGGGAAAGGGAGGTCGTTGATTAAAGTAGAAGGTTAGTTGGTAGTTGAGCATTGTCTTACTTTTTTACCAGATAGGGTTGGTAGTAGTTTGGTGCACCGTACCTATTTCTTGTCCTTCGATATCTATTACTATAGATTGTTTCTTTTTGATGACAAACTACCGATTGTTTCTTGTGCTTTCGTTACCGCATTATTTTGTTGTTCTTTTTCAAGAATGTTATGTAATGCTTCCTTTATTATTTGGTATTTCTTTTTTTCTTTTATATATTCTTTGATATGTGTTACTTGAGTCAAGGGTCTTTCATAAACAGCTTCTCTATCTTCAAGAGATAGGAATAAGGTTTGCGTACACTTTATCCTCCCAGACCCTACTCGTGGGATTATACTAGGTATGTTCTTGTTTGTTTATTTGTTATTAAAAGACAACACTATGAAGATGCATGGAAATGCAAATCCATGACTCGAGTGGAGAGAACCATGAAATATTTTGTTGGGAATCCCTCAGTATTCAAAGATTGTTATGTTATCATCATCGGAATAGATAAACTTGTCAACTTCATACTTCACATTGTTGACTTCCCCAGATGCGAGTATAGTATTTTATTTATTTTATGACAAGGGAAACCCGCAGTCGCTACCCTTTGGGCGCGCACAAGGTAAAACCCCAGCTCCTATGCAAAACTCGCAAACTACACAGGAGAGTTAAACTCCACTAGGCAAGCCCAATGCGACAAGCTCGACCCAGAAAGAAAACCCCTTGCTTTTGCTGCCAAGGAGTTTCAAACTTGAGACCTTCAACATGGACTAAGTTGCTCGGACTCGGGTGCGGGTATCCGAGAGTCGAATTAGGCAAAATTTAAATTTTAAGATTCGGGGGTGCGAATCCGAGCATGGATACGGGTGCCTCCTACATCGGGCCATTTAAAAGCATAAATTAATTATGACTTGTTACTAATTAATTTTTAAAAAAAAATTATAATTCCTTTTATTTATTATAAAAAAATTATAATCATATATATATATAGCCCAACTTAAATTAGATGGTACAATTCATTAAAGTGCTGCGTTGCCCTTTCTTCTCCCAAGAAAGACGTTTTTTTCTCCCAAGAAACCCTTAGCATGCTCTGTTCCTTTTCAAGAAAAAAAGTCTCTCTTCTTTTTCAAGAAAAAGACTTAGAATTCTTTCTTCTTTCCCATGAAGTCTTCGCCTCCTCTTGTACAAGAAAAAACCTTTTCTCTATTTTTTTCCATGGAGCAACCAGACCATACGACAACTTCGTCGGAGAAAAAGTCGTCAACTTTAATTGATCTCTTCTTCCCCATTTTTTTTCCTCGGCTCTGGTCAAAGTATCCGGATCAAATTGACCGAATCTGACACGCACCCCGCACCAGCACCAGAGTCGCGTCGAGATGGGTTCAGCTGCAAAAATGAAGAGTCCGCGCAACATAGAACATGGAAGTCCCAAGCCCAAACCAACTATTGACAGTTAAGCCTTAAGCGCAGGGATTAAAGAAGTATGTTGATTCTGATCAAGCCCTACATTTCTAAAAGGGAAGAAAAGGCAAAAGCCTTCAATAGGAATTATTTTGCAAACTCAAATTTACAACTCAAAATGGGATCCCAACATAATGATAAATGGTCCATTATTGTAATGTTGCATTTAGATCTTTTTATGAAAAAGAAAAACTGCTAAGCATAATGATAAACCAGACGACACGAGAAAGCTCCACATGCTCCTCAAAAGATAGCAATAACTTTGACCATGAATGCTTATACTGCAAAAATCGAATATAATTCTGTTCTATGTATCGGCAAAACCCCTCCATAAATTTAAAGAGCAACAAAGCTTTTGTAGCATAGAAACAAAAATAAGATTTTGCACCAATCAGCATCTAGGTTATCCTAGATATACTTTCAGCACATGATCTCCAGATGACCAATGAGTAAAGAGGCCCTTTCGTACATCTTAAAGAAATGTGTTAATTTAATCTTCACCTCATTCTTAATTGCAACAACTAGGTTATCCTAGATATACTTTCGGGACATGATCTCCAGATGACCAATGAGTAAAGTGGCCCTCTCGTACATCTTTTTTTTTTTTTTTTTTGAGAATGGTAAAGTTGTATTCATCAGCAATGAGGGTATGCTGGCAACCAAACAAAAAAATTCCAAGGCGAAGTAGTCATGATTACAAATAGCCTAGGAAATCTACTAACTGATTTACATCATCTATACCCTCTTCTTTACACCAAAAATATAGAGTATTAATGCAATTTTCTTTAACTTTCTGCATTGGGTTAGTAATATTCTTAAAGCACCTATTGTTTCTTTCCTTCCAAATTGACCACCATATGCAAGATGGAACTAGATTCCACCATTTTTTCTGTGTTTTACTTCCCCCTCTTCTCATCCAACAGTTTAATAGGTCAGCAGTATGCTCAGGCACCACCCAAGGATCTTGAATAATGCTTTGAAACAGATACCATATCTGGGCAGTCACTCTACAGTGAAGGAACAAATGATTGTTTGTTTCCTCCTTCTCATGGCAAAAGAAGCACCTAGAAACAATCTGAAATCCTCTTTTTTTCAGTCTCTCCTGAGTCAGACATGCTCTTCTGCACACTAACCATGTGAAACACTTTATCTTGGTTGGGGTGTTGGATTTCCAGATTTGTTTCCAAGGTCCAGCAATCTCCCCCGGCTGTGTTGCCAGGTCTCTTTTGTACATTCTTCCAACAGAAAATTCCCCATCCCTATCATGTTTACATCTTTAAGAAGTGTGTTAATTAATCTTCACCACATTCTTAATTGCAAGAACACAATTGAGTTAAGAGAGGTAGTGGATGATGCAGTAACTTCATAAAAGCAGTTGATTAACAGCTCACAAGAAGAGGTCAAAGTATATGTCAGAGCAGTAATTAAAGTATAAAATGCTTCAGCGCATATGTAAGAACATTAATTAAAGATTGAAATGATAAGTACCACAATGATGTGGGTTATATCAGAAATGGGATCCTTGCCCATTTTCCCAGGAGCCTCCTTGTTGAAGCTGGCACTTCCATTGGTAATCAGGACCCTCAGTAGAATCCCATTGGTACAAAACATGATTGATGACTGCTTCCCACCTCTGCTCTCCAGCCGTATCTGGAATTCACCACAACTCAGTAATTAAAGGCCGTACATAACTTTACATGCGAAGAATGGTTAAGAGGCAAGAAGACTATTTTTCGATTGTCTTTTTTTTGGTGGTGGTGGTGGGGTGTGTGTGTGGGGGGGGGTGAAGCAGTGACAGTGAAGGCATTAAGAGTGTTAGAACAACCAGAAAACTAACGTCACTCATCCTTTTTTTTGGTGGTGGTGGGGGGGTGAAGCAGTGACAGTGAAGGCATTAAGAGTGTTAGAACAACCAGAAAACTAACGCCACTCATCACAAACTAAGCACCACATATGAGAAAGCTATTGCTGAGATCCCTCCCCTGTTGCGCACGCCTGATTTATGTTTAGGAACGCTTCTTGAATTTGAAAATCATGTGATAAGTCGCAGATAAGTAAGAAACAGAAGCATTGATTCAGGTTTACCTCACCTCACAAATAAAAGTTTTATTTGACCCTCCACTTTAGAAAGGAAAGAATTTCAAAGAATGAACTCCACCATCACAAAATCCTTTTTAATAAAGTAAAAAACCTCCAACCTGGATTTCAAATGGATTGGATAGGATATCCATTTAAACATGGGTAGGATTAGCAGTTTTTCCTATTTGATACTGCTAATCGTCATAATTTAATCTATATGATTTAAACCTTAACTTACCAAAAGAAATCATTCCATTTGATTCACTTTGAACTTTCATCCTTTTTTGCACTTAATCATCTGACTCTTGTAGAAGTTCTTGATATGGATATCAAGTTTGAAAGTCTGAAATATGTTCTCAGTTATTGTTTTTAGCTTGATATTGAGCAGAGAGGTCTTGAAATCTTTTGTTGAGTAAGTAAAAGAAAGGAAAAAGAAAAATTTGGTACTGGGTCAAAATGTTTAGTCCCAATACCAGAAGAATAAAATAAATATTGGTAAAGGGAAGGAGTACACGTGTCATTCACAAAAGACAGTCGCCAAACCCAATTTACTTATATCTTTGTCAAAGGAAAAAGTGACCCAGCAAAATTGAAAAAGAAATAACTCAATTAGAAACAGTGTAGTACCTTGTAACCAACAGTATCCCCAACACTTTCGCCTCTTTCAGCAGAAATTCTCTCAGAAACTGCACATTGGACAAGCAATACTCAGAACATTTATGAACTGATTACCAAATTCCACATAACACATGAAAAGAAATGAATCCTTCAGAGCGGGCATAAAATGCCAACCTGATGTGGCAGAAATTCGTCGTGGCTGAGTACAGACAATTTTACATGTCTCGCCTTTACCCCACATATGATCTAAAATAAATTGAGGGACCTGAATCATAGGGAGGAAAAGTTATATCTAGTAATACTACATCTTCTTTGAGAATTACTAAAGAACACAGACTAAATAAAGGTTTGAAGTTCTAACCTGTGTAGTTTTCCCGCATCCAGTTTCACCAGAGATCAAGACCACCTGCACATGGAAAATAGTCCAGCCAAGATGAGAACTACCAAGCATCCAAACCCCGTAGCAGGCATTAAACCAAAATATGATACAAGCAGTGCCAACATGTTCTATTTTTGAGGGTAAGAAGTGCAGTCTTGACGAATGAAAACAAGCCTTTATCTCATCTCAAGGACCTTTCTCAGTTTGAACATAATGACGGCAGCATTGATTGATAGAGATTGGAGAAGCAAAAGTAGAAAGGCGTAGTCAGGTCATATTGTTTGATGCTATATAATGGTCACCTGATTAGATTCTATAGTTGATGTAATAGCATCCTTGAAGGAAGCAATTGGAAGCTTAGACCTTTGTAATGTAATCTGCAAGTAAATAACCAACAAGCCATTACTAATTCTTTTGTTGTTCTATTTTTTTCTGAAAGCATATTACAAGCTAAATCAAGAGCAACAGTATATAATATTTGTCAGCTCTAAATAGAAGATTGAAGAAAACCTGTCTCATGTTTGGGGTTTTTTCTATTCTTGACGCAAATGACTCTACCCTTTTTGCAATTTCAGACGTGCTCATCACAGGTTTACAGAACATATCATCCTTCTTTCCTCGTAATTTATCAAATTTCTTACTGTGTTTCCCGACTACTTGTTCACTTGTCTCCCCATCACCAGGTGGATATCGCGTAAATAAATCCTGTAGAGCATATTTTGCCTCCTCCGAAAATTTAAAACAACTTAGCACATCCTTTCCTTTCAGTGTGTCCATGTTCTGTTTAGTCTTGAAAATAGATATACGACGTTGATCCCCACGCCTAAGATAAGACAGGCCCATCATCATCTTAAGTCAGAAAAGGAAAAAGTTTACCCTGTCTATTTAGCAGCCAGAGAATTATAATGGCACGTTACTATAAGATGCTATGGAAAAATACAAGTAACATGTCATAGTGCTGAAACTTACTACACGTACCCAGAACTTTTTGATTTCATTCCCATTTTCCGGCATAACTTATGAACTGCAGCTCTATCGCGGTTTGAAAGGTTTGATTCAAATGTGTACACTGCATCAACAAATAGATATCCATAACATTTTACATACAACAACAACAACCCTTGAGAAGGTAGAGAGATTGTTTCTGATAGACCCTCGACTTCAAGTAAAACATATAAAAAATTAAGTATGAAAAGCAATACAGTAGTGAAGAACCCATGCTGAAAACAAATGGAGAAGAATTAATATTTAACATTTTACAGTAGTGACTTATAACATTTAACATATAAATCAGAATTATCTCATTCACATTTTTTTGTTGAATAAAGTCAGAATTACCTTATTTACATGTAATGGGCAATTATAGAAGAAAAAGGGAATTAAAAGTATCATCTAAGTATCAAGAGAGTGGTTAAAATGTGTCCAGACTACTTCCTATCAATTCTCCCCAAAAAAAAGTCATATTTATTGTTTGAAGTTCTAAGTAGCAGCATTTTTACATGTGGATGCTACAAAATACAACAATTACAGAAAAGGGAACCAGCAGCAAAATTGAACATAAATCATAACCAATGTAATAGTTGCCAATGAAAAGCATAACACTTTTGCAAAGATTAGAATATGCCACTAAAACCACATACCACCTGATAGTGTACCTCCCTCTTACCCCAATTCAGTTTGTATTTGTGTCTCTTCTGTATAGAGCTATTCACATTTTTAAGCTGTTTTTAGCTATAGCAGAAAACTGAAAACCCCTAACTTGTCTTTTACAAATTAATAAGTGTACGAACGAAATGCAACTTAAACACATTTAGGATTTCATATAACTAACCCCACTCAATTTTCATAAAAAATTTACAATCTTTATGCATCAAAACATAGTTTGTACACAATATTTTACAATCTTTAATCGTCAAGACATAGTTTATACAAAACATTTTACAATCTTTAATCATCAAATATATCTTTTTTATCAAAATCCAGCTTCCAAAGCACCACATATAGCAACAAACAAAACATGATATATTAACCTACAACCAATAAAGTATTAATCTTTTTTCTCAACAACTAAACAAGGTGAAGTAAATGGGGTTTATCAAATAATTGTTACCTTCATCATTAGAAGCACGAAACTGTTCAAGAACTTGGGCAACCCGAATCTGAGTGGATTCTGCAACATTGGTAACCTCTTGTTGTTTTTGGCCTTTCTTCTGCCTCTTCTTCCCAACCCCAGATGATGATGGAGCTGTTGACGCCATTTCACTCAATCTTGATTATTTCTTTTCTGTAATGTCCCTTTGTATTCTTGATTTGCTTGTATACTTATTTCTCTTCCTCTTCGCGGCGCCACTCTTTGCCCTTCTACTCTTCTTTCTTCACCTCTTGTCAAACAATTTATATACCAAAGATGAAAATCCCCATAAAAGTTACTATTCCATATGTATGAGAAAGGGTTTATGTAGTATACTTACTAATTAGAAACATATAATTAATCTTTCTTGAGATATAAATGAACGTAACCTACGATGGTTCAAAATCGAATCGAGATAAATAATTCAAAAAAATTATAGTAATGTGTTATTGGTTTAACTTGGTGATGATTTTGATTTCTTTTTATTATTGGATTGTCGATTTTTAATGGTTTGAGGGTTTTTTAAAAAGGGTTAATCTATAATTCAATAGCAAATTAAATAATTATATTTATACCATTTTGAATATAAAGTCGTGCTTAATTTTCCATAATATGTATCCATTGGGCCAATCAAATTAATTGGATCTTTAAGACATGGGCCAATCAAATGAGTAATAATTCAACCCGCCCATAGTTGATATGGGTAAAAATGGATTGGGTAAAATACTAGTTTATCCATATTTATCCATATTTTCATGAGTAAATAGTACTCTACTTAAGTATTCAACATGGAGAAAATATTTTAGTCTTTTTTTAGATGAAAAATGTTGAAAATGCTTCATTTAGTTTTATTGTATCATAAAAGTCAAAAAAAAATCCTAACCTTTCAATATAAAATAAATTTATGTAATAACAAGGAGAAAATATTTTAGTCTTTTTTTAGATGAAAAATGTTGAAAATGCTTCATTTAGTTTTATTGTATCATAAAAGTCCAAAAAAAAATCCTAACTTCTCAATATAAAATAAATTTATGTAATAACAAGGAGAAAATGTTTTAGTCTTTTTTTTAGATGAAAAATATTGAAAATGCTTCATTTAGTTTTATTGTATCATAAAAGTAAAAAAAATCCTAACTTTTCAATATAAAATAAATTTATGTAATAACAAGGAGAAAATATTTTAAATTTCAAAGTAAATGAATAGTTGCATTTTAGGACTAAAACATGCTTAATGCACTTTAAGGCTTAAGCAATGTCAATACTAATACATGATTTGCTCATTGTACACTATTATTTATTATCCAATATAAAATTAAACAAATATAAAAATATAATTATAATTAACAAAAGAAATGTTCATTTAAAATGTATATTTTTGGAGGGCCAAAAACTTCACCTTTTCAATTATAGAGAAAAATAATTAGTTCTATAGAAGAACATAAAAAGGAAGAGAAGTTACAATTTTTTTTAGTGATATCATGATTTTTGAGTGAATAAAAGTTAGAAGCTTAACCCCTTTGGCTAATCCATATTTTACCCATAGTTTACCCATATTTTTATGGGTTGAATATGGGTATCAACCCATATTTTACCCATGTAAAAAGTCACTCACCCAGCCCATTAAAATATGAGAGCGCTGGACGAGTTACCAAAATATGGGATCATTTTACCGACACTATCCGTAGCATAATATATGGATCAAACAGGGAAAAATCACACCATATACACATTTAAGAGACAATATTACGAGTTTTAAACCTACTCTTAAAAAATTCTTACTTATAACAGTTTAATTACGGGTTATGACATATCAATTAAATTTAATTTCAATTTATTTAATAAATGATTAATCTATTTATATTTTTATATTACTAATTAATAAAATTTAATTAATTTGATTTTAGTTCCTTTTTAAAAACTGAAATTATCAGTTACATATATTTATGGATTTTACATTGATTACACTTCCTTATTTAATGTTACACTCATAACCTCCCATTTGTCAATCCCACCACCCTTCCCCCACACCTATCCAACTATACACGCTATCGCCCCACTTTCACCTTCTTCTCTCCCATTTTTCTCACCAGCCAACTACACCAACATTCAATCTTTCGTCCAAATTTTTTCCCAACAAAATTATGTCTAAGAAACCCATTGAAACGCCTCGAAAGAGTCCCAGATTGGGTGAAGGAACTTCTAATGATGATGTTCATGCTTCAAATTTTAATATATTAACTCAACCCCCCCCCCCCCGCCTAAAATTGTTGAAAATCCGGCGACGGATGGTTCATCTAAGTTGAAGGAGCGACAAAGAGAGAAAAAATGAAGAAAAAAAAAGGTCACCCCTGCAAATCAAAAGGGGAAGAAGAGGGGAAAATTGTTGAAACCCCTTCTGATTCCGATTTTGATTTTGTTACTGAAATCAAAAAGAAAAAAAAAAAAGAAAGGCAAAACAAATGTAGAAGTTGGAGCATCTTCAAAACCATCAACAAGAAGAACAACAAAAAGTTTTTTTTTTTTTTAACTTTTGGACAATTTTTTTGTGTTTAAGTATTTGATGATATATAATATCATATGTTTTCTTTCAGGCAGATACCGTTTTCATATGAATTACTGATTGCCTATTACAATTTCAAGATACTATTTTGAAAATATCAATGTGTTTTCAGACTGTACATTTATTGGATGAAATCTGATTAATATGTGTATGACTACGCTTTAATGTTTTGATTTTGAAAATTTTATGAATTGTGATATAATAATGGTATACAAATGGTATGAACTGTGTTTTAACATTGGTGTGATTGTCTATTAACTGTGTTTATGATATAAATTATTAAATTGGTATGAAAGTGATATGATTTGTCAAACTACTGATTTTTTCTAAAAAAAAATCACATTATGCTTACTTTCTATTCTAAACATGTTTTTGGATGAAACATGTATGAAATCTGATTAATACGTGTATGCCTATGAGTTTAATATTTTATTGTTGGATATTGTATAAATTGTGATATAATATTGATATACAAATGGTATAAATTGTGTGATTATATGAATTTATCAATTTTTATACATGTTGTTTGGATAAAACGTGTATGAAATTTTGATTAATATGTGTATGACATTAACTGAAGTTAGTGTGGGACACTAACTGCAATTTGTTTTAAATTTATTTATAGTAGGACAACAGTTGAAAACCAAACTACTATTCATGTAAACTTACATTAAACTAAATACTTAGGATACCATAATTACCTTTTATAATTATCACTAATATTTACACTATCTTATGTATTAAGCTGGAATAAATTTTATTTTTAACAGTATGCAATCTGTATGATTAATGAATGAACAGTGTAGAAAGTATGAACGGTATATTAAACACTAAGTTTATAATGCACTTCAAACCAATTATGTTTCATATCAAAACAAAACGTTAATCTAAACGACAAAATAAAATAAAAATTATATATAGTCTAAACAAATAAACAATCATTAGTTCTGCACATGATAATTTCAACATGCTTCATGTTGTGGCCAATTTGACAACTTCTACTGCAAGTAGCTTTGGATCTTTTGAATTTCACATCAGCAATCCTTTTGAATTTCACATCAGCAATTCATTTCATTTGAAAATCAACATAATTCTCTGTTTCATTAAAAAAAATAACAATTAGTCTAACATTATACAAATCGATTAGAAATATGTTAAATATTATTAATTTTTCATTCCAAAGGCAATACAAATTTCATCCATAAAAATCATTATAATAACAACAAAATTATACACACTCGTCATTATTTTTTCATACAAATATCATTCAGACAGCACATTACAAAACAAATTTCATACAAAACATAATATTTCACATTTAATACTCACTTAATACACATTTCATACAACAATCATCATTCATACCATATTTATACATTTTCATACTCATTTAATACACATTTCATACAAAACGATTATTCATTCAAGCTATATACATTTGTCATCCCAAATAATTAATTATTGTCACCCAACTTTATACAGAAATAACAAAACTAATATAAACTCAACAATTTCACATTTAATAGCAATTTAAAACACTTGTAATACACTTCGTCAAGAATTCCAATTTTTTTTTTACATTTTCTTAACACACTTTTCATACATAATTCATTCAACTTATACTATCAAATTCATTATCAAATAAAATAAATTTTCATAAATTCGTCAACATTATAATTAAATTATATTTACAAAATAATTAGCACACTTTCATACAAATTTCATTCAATTTATTCTATCAAATTTATTCATAAAATCACATTAAATTTATAGTTTCACAAAACAACAACCGTATAAAAAATAAACAAAAAAAAAACACTAATTTTTTTACATTTCACAACAGTAAACATAATATGATATCAACAATTAACAAAATATGACTCCACCTTCAATTAATCGACAGTTTGATCATTTTTGTTTCATTTCGCTATCCTTCTAAAACAAACGTTAAACAATAATAAATACTAACCCGAAGGATCCCATCTTTCACCATGTTTGATTAAAATTGATACGTAGTTGTCCATCACAACAAAATCAAGAATTTTCAAAGATGAAAAAAACTTCAATTACTCGAATGTAGGATTTTTTTTTGTTGAAAATTGAAGAGAGAAACGTTGAAATTTTTTTGTTGCAAATTGAAGAGAGAGAAACGTTGAAAAAAAAAAAGAAAAAATCTGAATTTTTATTTGATTTTAACTGATTTGAGTGAATTAAGGATACTCAATAATCTTAATTAGTTTAAATCCCTTAATTCGTGCTATTTATTAATTATCTACAATAAATTCAAATTAAATTAACACAACAATTTCAGTTTATTACTTGTTTTCATTAAAAAAACGTTTTTTTTTTCATTTTTCTTTTATGCTCTTTATTTTATTTAAACAACTTTTTTCAACTTTTTAATGTTATAACTTGAAAGTCTAAATCTACTACTATAGCTTTAAAATATTACTATAATATATGACATATATAAAATTTACACAACAAATAGTTGCTTTTGTTCGATCCTTTTATTTGTAGTTGTGTGGGGTGGAGGTGAGGGAGATTTCGACAAGTGATAATTATATATATATTCATAAGTATTTATTGGCATATTTT